GAAACGTAAGTGTTTATTTACAGACATACTGAAAACAAAATTTCAAGAATTTAGAGCAGGTCGATATGACTTGGAAGCTGAATGTTTGACATGCAGCAGTGAAGCTTAGATCTCCGTGGCCAATAATGGTAATAATGGTGCACCGGATTTAAAGGTGCTCGTCACAGAATGTTAAGAGTGTTCTCGGAAAAACTTCGTAACACCAGGTTCGAAAAGCGATTAATCTGTTTCAGCAGCTAAAGGCATATTGGAGCTATATGATGTCAAGCACCATCACAGCTAAACTATAAATAAATGAATATGAACCTTAGCCTTAGTTGTTGTTTATCATTTTTTTTTTTACCTCATTCTGATATTGCAAGCAAAAATCAGTCAGTGTACTTTAATAATGTTAATAGAATACTCGTTAATACAAATTTATAATTAAAACTATTCACAATAAGAACAATATTTTATGAGGTTTGACTGGCGTAGCCAGTAGACTGAGTAGTAGCAGTAGTAGTATTTATTAGGCCCACACTACACACAAAACAAACCGTTCATGTCAGAATAGATAGATATAATAATATATTACTAAATATTATTAAGTTATAGTTACCTAGATTAGATCTTTATTGTAATAAAAAAAAATAAGCTAACCAAAATGAGACAATATTGTATATCACTTCTTAGTTATTTTATTAGGTCTCATCCAACAGGGAAAAACAATCGATACAACTCATTAAATATAGTTCCAAAACAAGTAGGCTTAAACTTAAACTTTAAGTTCACGTAAACAAATTATTTTTTAAAAAAGAGTTCTGAAAAGTGGTACTTGTATTTAACTAGATCTGCGTTTACGCTGAGAAAAAAGGCGAGATGAACATGTCTTTTTTGTTTAAATGATAGTGCTGCAATTAAATTAGAAATAGGTCAAATTATAAAACAGTGTCTTTTTATTATTATTTCAAATATCATCTTGATAAAATTCGAGCAGATGTTTGAATAAGTTAAATAATCTCCCCCAATAGTCCCTACCCAGGTATTTGAAGTACCGGGTAACGAAAAGGTTATGGTTCCAATAAATGTACAAAAGTCTAAACAGAATTGTGACAATGAAGTTGAAAGCGCCCTATAAACAACTAGCGTTTACGAGTATAAAACTTTCACCACCCCCCCCTCCGCAAAAAAAGGGGGGGGGGGGCGGTCAAGAACAAGCGCTTCTGGAGCTACGCCAAGCATCAAATGGCCTAAAGCGCTGGGGTCCCCCCCCCTGGTAAAGAAAAGGTTATGGTTCCAAAAAATGTACAAAAGTCTAAACAGAATTGTGACAATGAAGTTGAAAGCGCCCTATAAACAACTAGCGTTTACGAGTATAAAACTTTCACCCCCCCCCCCCCCGCAAAAAAAGGGGGGGGGGGGCTGTCAAGAACAAGCGCTTCTGGAGCTACGTCAAGCATCAAATGGCCTAAAGCGCTGGGGTCCCCCCCCCCTTCTCAAATGGGACGGCCATTTGACGTCTGAACCAAAAGCACAGGCGAGCATTCTAAATAAACAGTTCCAGGCGGTCTCAGGTGATGGTAGAGAGTACTCAGAGGTTGAGTTCCATCTGAAGACCAACATGGTGAGCAGAGCCTACCCAGTCATGGAAGATATCCAGATATCAGAGCAGGATGTGCTGGCACTCCTTAAAACAATTAACCCCTACAAGGCATGTGGTGATGACAACATCAAACCACGAGTGCTCAAATAATTGGCCAATGAAATCACGGCCTCGTTGACAATCCTCTTCTAATCGTCGCTATGCACAGGTAATGTCCCAACTGACTGGAGAACAGCGCATGTCACTCAAATCTACAAAAAGCGGGAGCATTACGACACTGCAAACTACCGCCTGGTATCCCCAACCAGCGTGGTATGCAAACTGTTGGAGCACATAATCGTAAACGGTAAACGAAGGCATGAGGTATCTTGAATGGATTCCGAGTTAATAGATCAGGTGAGACCCAACTCCTTGAATTTGCAGAAGAATTGATGACCAATCCGGAGAACAGCAATCAAACTGATGTGCTGGTGATGGACTTCTGAAAGGCATTTGACCGAGTCAGTCCTAGTTTGCTATTACACAAACTGCATAGATATGGTATCCAAGACTGGGGAAGAAAGAAACAAAGCACGAATGATCATGATACAAAGGGAAACCAGAAAGACAACACAAACATACAAGGAAGCCAGAAGGAAAGCGACAAAAGTGTTTAGTAAGAAAAGAGGGAATGGGAAAAAGCTAAACTAAAGGAAATAGAAGATTTATCAAGAGAGTGAAATATAACAGGAATGTTCATGAAGATAAAAGATGAAAAGAATGGATACCAAGCCAGACCGCAAAAGTTTGAGAGCCACAATGGAGAATAAATCACGGAAAATAGTAAAGTATTGGAGAGGTGGGCTGAATATTTTGAGGACATTCTGAATGCAGACAATAGACAAGAAGAAGATTATAAACCCCACAAGGAGGTCCAGACCCTTTTATACAATGCCCAACCCTATAGAAGAAACCAAAGAGGTAATTAGTTATATGAAAAATCTTAAAGCCTCCGGACAAGACCTTATCACAGCAGAACTGATTAAATATGGAGGAAAAGAGCTACACAATCAGATACATAAACTTATAACTAAAATTTGGCAAGAGGAGAAAATCCCGACAGAATGGGAAACAGCATTAATAACTCCAATACACAAGAAAGGCTCCAAACTTCAGTGCACAAACTACAGACTAATCTCCCTATTAAATGTTAGATATAAAATACTGACGAAGCTTATTGCCAAAAGACTAGAACCTTACACTGAAGAAATACTAGGTGATTACCAATGTGGATTCAGGCCTTACAGATCAACAAGTGATCAGATTTTCACCATCATATGCCTATTAGAGTATGCTATGAATTTAATACACCAGTACATCAACTCTATGTGGACTATAAAATGGCCCATGACAGCATCAAAAGAAAATATTCTATATGAGACTCTGCAGGAGTATGGGATACCCAACAAACTGACACGACTAATACATGTAACACTAAACAACTCAAAAAGCAAAATCAAGATTCAAGGAGAATATTCAAAGGAATTTCAGATTAGGCAAGAAGACTCACTGTCTTGTATGCTTTTTAACCTAACATTAGAGAGAGTTATGAGAAACATACACATTGACACTCGAGGAACGATAACAGGATACTTTCTGAGGGAAACTCAAGACCCACACCCAACAGGCACACTCTACAACCAACCACTTCAGTATCTTGCATATGCTGATGACATAGCATCGCTAGGGAAAAGTATTAAAGACATATCAAAATCCTTTATTGAATTAGAAGACGCATCACTACAAGCAGGGCTGGAAGTTAACAACCAAAATACAAATTACATGACCATGATAAGAGAAGAACAAACAGATGAAGAAATTAAAATTAGAAACCAGACTTTTGAAAAAGTAAATCTATTCAAATACCTAGGATCTTTGTTAAATGAAAGAAAAGAAATACTAACAGAAATAAAAGAAAGAATAATAGCCGGAAACAGGGAATATTTCAGTCGTCAGAAAATACTCAAAAGTAAAAAAATTACAAGAGAAACAAAGAAAACTATTAATCAAACTGTAACAGACCAGTTGTAACATTTGCGAGTGAAACTTGGACCCTAACAAAAAACGGCAGAAAACCTATTAAGCACATGGGAGAGGAAAGTTCTCATGAAAATAAATGGACCAGCAAAGGATGAATAAGGATGGAGAATACGAACCAACCATGAATTGTACAGACTATATCAGGATCCCACGATAGTGGCAGAAATAAAAAGAGGCAGGCTACATGGGCTGTAGCGCCACAGGGATGGATGGAATCATAGTTTGCTATTACACAAACTGCATAGATATGGTATCCAAGGCACTATCAAAACAAACTGACATGGATCTCTAGCTTCCTCGGCGACGATGCCAGGCATAAGTGGTAGACGGCACAACCTCATCCTTTGTTAGTGTTAAGGCAGGGGTCCCCAAAAGTTCGGTGCTAGCCCCCTGTTTGTTCCTAGCATATATCCATGACTTGCTAGAGAAGCTGACCTCCCAAGCAAGACTAAACGCTTTCGACACGGTGGTGTATAGGACGATGGCCAACAGTTCTGACCAGGACCAGCTACAACAGGACCTCCATTGGTTTGCCGACGGGGGGGGGGGGATGAGCTGGGACATGGAATTTAATCCCGTCGCCAGACCCTGTCAGTCTCCAGAAGCATATCTCCTATACCCCACCCTTACGAATCGCATGGTCATATTCTTGAGCCAGTATCCTCTGTGAGATGCTTGCGGTCATTCGCAAACTACGTCACGCAAAAATGACATTTTCAGACCCCACCTACCTCCTTGTCACAAAGTGTCACAAATTATATCCCCCCCCCCCCCCCCCCCTTGTCACCTCATATCTAAAAAAATTCAAAACATACATAACATTTTATTTTATCGGCTAACTAAGATTTTATTTTTATTCTTTAACATTTTTCCATAGTGGAGTAAGATGTAGAGTCTAGTATTATTAGAAAACTCTGACGTAAAACACAAAACAACGAAGTCCTCCCCCAGCCGAATGTTAAATGGCCACAACAGTTTTTGCGTCATTTTTCGATATGCGCAGAAGATCACCGCGACTGAGTTCACGTTACTTATAATAGCTGAGGCAATTTCGACCTCAAATTTATATATTTAAAATTAATTGAATAAAGATTCTTCAAAATTGGAAAATTTTGGCTTAAACAAAATAGTAATAATTATTATTGTGACGTCACAAATGTTTGACCCCTTCCCTTCCCCCTGTCACAATTTTCTCGACTCCCCTCCCCGAGCGTGACCTAATTTGCGAACGACCCCCTTATAAGTAGATTGTGCGCCCCCAACCCCCAAACTAAGCCCCCATCCTGATCCGCTTTATTTATGAAATTCCAGATTGGTTTAAAATATCACGTGCATAGAAGACACGGGTCACCGGAAACAAACAAAGGCGCCACTGAGAGCGTCAATCGTGTCGAGGAGTTAGTGAAAGGTATCACCTGAATGAATTTCTATTACCTTATATTATATTGCCGCTCCGCTAGGCCTTGGCCTTGACTTATATTATGTATTATTATGTTGTATATCTTTTTCCCGGTCCCAAGTTTCCGTTTATTTCATTGTCAGGAGTTTTGCCACTTTTAATTTTGAAGTAAAAATACAAAAATTCGGTACCGGTAAACTGTAATTGTAAACAAAATAACAACTTCTTAATAGTTTTATTTCTAATAGTAATACTAAGCTGAGTCAAACTTTAAAAAAAAAAAAAATTGTCATAAATTAATTATTTATAAAGTCAGTACAGGGCCTAATTAAATAAATTATACATTTTGTGTCAGTCCTACGAGTCATACTCCATTATTATAAAATACAGCATTAATTAAAAATTTAGATCATGTCATACTGTCATAGAGTTATCAATAAGTTGGTAAAAGTAAAGGCTTTAACTTTAATTTATTTTGAAGCAGCATTTGAATTTCATTAGTAAGCATTCTATAAATAAACAGGTCTACTGATGAAATTATTTGATTTAGCTGATGCAGTGATGGTGTAACACAAAATTTTACCTTTTTTGAGGATATAAATAAGACAAAATTATTAAACAAAGTTATTCATAATATATTTTACAGACATGATGGAGAGGGTTTTGGAACCAAGAGAAGCTGGTCATTACATTACTGAGAACAGTGAAAATGTTTTCATTCTGGAAGAAGGTGTTAAAAAACTTGCAGAACTTGTGAGTATTTATTGATTCATTTGGCCATACTGATACTGGCTATACTAATTAATACTATACAAGGACTTCCGTATCGCCCATAAACACCAGACAATCAGGTATAGTAATTTCGTCGTCAAAATGACGACCTCCACTTTTTAATTTACAGAGGGTTTTGTTGTTTAGTCTTTTATAGTCGATTTTTAGCCTAATAATAAATTCGTAATAATAAATTCTACATCCACCACTTACTTAAAGCTGATGTCTTGCTTGTTCTATTGAGAATTCATTAGATTTTTTTTTCGAGGTTAAAGCTTTGAAAATGGAAGTGAGGTAAAATTAACTGATTAATAATTTTTTTTTAAAATGTGCTCAATCATAAAAAAAGCAGCTCATTAAGATTATAGGTTCATAAATAACATTTCCAAACTTCATCAGTGTAGACCATAGGCAGGTGTCAAAAACGAAAATCAAAGAGGTAATTTTTTAGGCTAAATTATAACTAAAAATAACTAATTTTAAATAAACGAAGTGTCTAGATGTCCGGCGAACGGACAAATAAGTTCTCGAGATATTCATCCAGCGATAACGTCACATGACTGCTGTAACAAAGTTGCGCAGATATTGGTCCATCAGCCTTGTCACGTGACAGCTAATGATCGATCGGAAAAATGGTATCAGAGATGCATGTGGGCGACAAGATTACTTCATTTCAGCAAATGGGTTTGGGGGGTGGGGTAAGCAATGCATAATAGAAGGAAGAAATACTGAGAGTGAGAGAGGAAGGATAAAAATGATAGTGAGTGTGATAAATAATTAAAGCGGGGAGGTCGATAGTTCACAAAGAAATAGACCCTACATCTTAATTTATGGCCAATATAGCCTACTTCTTATGCAATATTAATAGCCTAAAATAAAATATTTTTGAATTAGGTCTGTTGAAAGTCAACTGGCAGGTATTGGTCTTATTTTGGTTGGTTTATATTTTAGATTTAGGCTACTAGGTAGAGCTTTATAAGATATTTAAACCAGGGGCGTAGCTAAAGGGGGGGGGGGGCAGATGTCAGCAGTCAAGTCAACTTTCCTAGGAGTCGGTATGGTATATTTACATCCTAAAATCTTCCCCTCCCGTCCAGCGTCATACATTCTTATTAGCAATTTCTACAGTGGGTTTCTACCTCTTTACTAATTTATGAAGCAGCTGGGACGAAACGGTTGTCTAGGAACAGCTTCCTCAATTGCTGGGTAAATAGAATCATCTGCAGGAGGCTGCTACTACCTACCTCACGCCTCAGATCCTTCACCCCCTTCAAATTATTTGATTAAGTCCCACCCCCTACAAAAAAACAATAATTCATTATAAAATTTGAAAAAAATGTATTTCTTATTTTTTGTTTTTTTTATTTAAGAGACCTGTAGGATTCTTGGGCCATAACATAAATATTGAGGAATATCTTAAAAGTAAGGGGTCCCTCTGATAATAACTTTTCCTCACACCCTCTTAGCCCTGAAATAATAATAATAATTAGTGGTCTTTTATCGCGCAATACCCCAGCCTAGGGCTGGGCTCGGCTCACCGCGCTGTACATAAAAATATTATCAAAAGAGACATAATCATGACATTAAAATTAAAATCAAATACAATTATGAAATAAAGAACAGCATGAACCCCAGGACTTTTACAAGGCAAACCATGGACAGCAGCCAACAAGATCATTCTTCTGTCCCTTGGGGTCGCAAACACCCAAGGCCTTTGTGTTATTATATTTCAAATAGAGCATAATTCACCTGAGTAAAGACAATTTCTAATTCTTTTGATACCTTTTGAAGAAATAATATTTCTAAAAAGTGTAATTCCTTAAACACGTATTTAAAAATAAGATTTCATTAGAACAATGCCCCTTGTTTTTTCATGTAGCTCTACACCAAAGTGAGATCAGGGGATTTTGATGTCAAAATGTGGCGCAGACATGAACTAAACCCTCAGACAAAAGATGAGGATGCAGTTAACTGGTAAAGATTTTTGTGAAATTAATATTATTTTATCTTTACTTATTCATTGATCTTCATAAATTCATCCACTTGCTGCAGGTAGACTGAAACAGAATTTAAAAAAAACCTTAAATAATTTTTTTCCTATACATAGAAGTTAGAAGTGAAAAAAAAGCACATACATTTATTGTTTGAGAAAACTATAATTTGACATTAAAAAAAAAAAAAACCCACTTGTATTGACATTTTGTTAACAGTTATCATGTTTCTTAGACACTTTGTTAACAGTTATCATGTTTCTTAGACACTTTAACAGTTATCATGTTTCTTATGGCTACAGGGTGTTTGTGTCTGCAGTTTTGAATTTTTCTTTTTGGTCAGAGAAAGAATCTGAAAAATATATGGTCAAATATAATGGCAAAGAACACACAGGTTATTGGGCTCTCTGTGCTGCCATGAATAGAGCATTAGATGTAAGTAGAAGTCTGCCAGGCTTAAAAAAATGTTTTATGTGTGGAGTAGTTGATTTCTTTGATGGTTTACTTTTATATTTTATCCCCTACAATGAGAACGTTTAAAAGCACAAATATTAAGCCATAGTAACATTGCTGAAAAACTGTTATCGTTTTTCTGGCGAACTATTTCAATTTCAGCGTTTGATCAATCTTGAAAATCTCCCAACGGAAGCGCCTATTAAGTCAGTTGAGGAAAAGTGTTTAGATTAAATTTTGTTTTGCTCAAATCTCATTAAAAAATAATTTAATTCCTGAAGAGATGAGTAACTAACATTTTCATTTTAAAAATAAGCGTTATTTTCCATGGTGCGTATGTTTATTACTGTTACTTTGAACAAGAACAATATTCTTTTAACTAATTATTATTCCCATCAAAGAGCCATTTTAAAATGTTGTTCTCCCAAGGCACTAACAGTGCGAGGAATATCAAGCTCAAATATAATTGTATCTATCTGAAATGATCCAGGAGGGCTTTGAAGTTACCACACCTTCTTATTATGCAAAAGTAGACCTGAAGACCTTGAACACAATCTTCCGCTCAGACTCTGCATATGGCATTCCCTTACTGGATGAGAGACATGAGGTGCTTAATGAAGCAGGGAATGTTTTAATGGAAGTGAGTGAGAAATCTGCATTTATTTAACCAATAAAAATTAAAAGACCGAAAATATCTGTTTATGCAAGTTGGCTGAACTTGTAATAAAGTTAAACAAAATATAATATTACATCAGCACAGATTTATCCTTTTGACAACACCTCATTTTTTTCATTGAGCCTTCACCTGAAACCAAGCTTAAATAAACCTAATAAAAATTATGATTCTGCTAGTAATCTCCATGTTATCTTCACAGTGACATCCTAATCTTTGTCCCAGTTGCAGTAGTATTGTCCCAGTCCCAGCAGTGTACCTTATCATAAAATCTGTGTCATTTCATTAATGGGGCTAAAGTTTTGTACTAAGGGGCACAAAGTACGATTATGCAGAAGTGCAATACCCGAGACTTTCGTAGCTAGATTCTCATTTCATGTGAACATGAGTGAAGTCTCATAAGGAAAACAAACTTGGTGCATCAATTTATTTGCAGAAGAAGAGGGCATAAAGTATTCTTGAGGGCACAGGTTATTTTTTAGGGTATAGGGTACTCTTAATGAAGAAAATCAAAGCTGCCTAAAATAACTATTTCTTAAATGTTTTCAAGAATTAAGAGATTTGTTTCCCCTTACAGAAATATCAAGGGAGCTTTGCTAACGTCATAAAAGAAGCCAATGGTTGTGCACAGAACTTGCTACATCTTGTTGTTGATAACTTTCCAAGCTTTCGTGATGTTGCAGAATACAAAGGAAAAAAGGGTAGATTTATCTTGATTTCGGGTTTTTGGAAGTATTTTTCTAATTTGAAAATGTCATTTATTTAAACAGGGTTCGCACGGTCTTTGAAGGTCTTTGAAGGTTTGGGGAAAAAATTTTTTTCCAGGGCCCGGAAAGTTTGGGAAAATTGTCAAAAAATATCAGTCTTTGAAAGTTTGGGAAAAATGATTATAAAAAAGTTCGAAAGGAAAAAAAACACGGGAGGAATAAAAAATGTTTCCGTTTCACGCTTTTTATGATCCGTTGAACGAAGCAAGAAAGAAATTTGTTCATTGGTCGGTAGATTTCGTTAAGCCAATCAAATTAATCTTAACGAGTGTGCTATCACGTATTAACTGCGCATGCTTGGTTCGCGGCATAAATACATTGGCATGGTTATAACTTTCATTTTGGATTAGTGACAGGTGCGTCCTGCGTTTTCTCTATTGATAACCTTCAAATCTTTGGACAGTTTAAATAATAATTATGCCTGGAGTTTGTTCTTTCAATGATATATGGCTCGACAAATTAGAATACAAGTTTTGGCTAAAAAAAGTAGCAGATGACAAGAGGAAAGCCTATTGCAATGTTTGTAAAAAAGAACATCGATATCTCGTCGATGGGGGAAGGAGCACTCAACAGCCAGGCAAAGGGTAAGCTACAGTATTTAAAAGAAACCTATTTCTAATTCACTTTGCGAAGTAAAAATGGGATATATTAAAATCTCTTTTCAGGTTTCTTTTCTATATTTTTATGTTACTAATTTGGCTGCTTCTACTACTACTACTATTACTACTAAAAATTATATATCTAGACTTCATTTTTTTTTAAAGGCTAAGTGCTAAGCAGCTCTACCAGTAAATCTCAATAGGAGATTAATTGCGATTAAGAATATTATTATATCAGGATACTGACAATTTTCAGATTCGTTACAGTTTCTTTGCTATAATTAAGCTACTAATATGGCTCCTACCGATTACTTTTATCCAGACTCAAACTATAGGCTTAAGACAAGGCTACCAGTTAATAATTTTAAAATAAGAATAAATGCCTTAACTTTAACTGTGTTTAATATTTTTGTACCTGGCTAAGCCTAACTATATTATTAAAATATTATAATTATTTGATTGGCTATTTATTTTAGGAAAAAAGCACATTCAAAATGAGAAGGCTGCTATTTCTAGTACGCCTATTACTGGATATTTAAATACAGTTAATAATGCTGACCCAGTACCATCATCATCAAAGGCCTGTCGTGAACAGGGATCAACAGCAAAACCTGTCTGTATTCAGTCGTTCTGCACTAAGACAGAAGTGCTTACCGCTGAAGTAATTTGGACTATGAAATGTCTAAATAGCCATTACAGCTTTAGTTCTTGCAGGGACACTGCTGATTGTTTCAAACCATGTTTCCGTCTTGTGATATAGCTCAACAGTTTGCATGTGCTGAGAGGAAGTCTGCATAGCTTAGCATTTTTGGCATAGCCCCCAACTTTGCTGACTTGCTTCTAAAAAGAATAAGAGCAGCTTCTGCTTATGTTCTTATGTTTGACGAGACAATGAACAAACAGATGCAGGAAAAGCAGATGGATATTTATGTTCTTATGTTTGACGAGACAATGAACAAACAGATGCAGGAAAAGCAGATGGATATTTATGTTCTTATGTTTGACGAGACAATGAACAAACAGATGCAGGAAAAGCAGATGGATATTATACAAGAATACAAACTGCTCTGTTACTTCAAACAGATGCAGGAAAAGCAGATGGATATTTATGTTCTTATGTTTGACGAGACAATGAACAAACAGATGCAGGAAAAGCAGATGGATATTTATGTTCGCATCTGGGATGAAAATAAAATTACTTCCTTTTTCCACTCATCTCATTTTCTTGGACATGCCACTACCCATAACCTCTTGGAAAAATCAGTCCAATTATCTTGGACCAAGGACACGGGGGATTCTTACAACTGTCCATGGATGGCCCAGCAGTGAACTGGAAACTTTTTCAGATGTTAGAAAAAAATGCTGAACAATCTAGAAAATATGTGGAGTCCATAATAGCATCAAATTCATTTGAGCACAGAAATTTCTCCACATCAAAAAGCAGGGTGGATGAATTTTTTTTCTCAGCTTTTCACAATAAAAAGGAGTTTTCTGAGCTGTGGATTATTGTTCAAAAACTCCTTTTGTTATCGCATGGCCAGGCGACTGTGGAAAGAGGGTTCTGTTGAAAACTTACACAGAGAGAGTCTCTGTGCTCAACGTCTTATCATGGGTCAAGTTAGGAGAGCTGGAGGACCTCGAAAAGTTCAAATTACCAAAGAGTTGTTAAGTTTTGCCTCATCTGCTAGAATCAAGTACACTCTTTACTTGGAAAAGCAGAAAGAGGAAAGAAGTATTCTACTTGCGTCAAAAAAAAAAGAAAGCTTGAGCTAGATGAGGTGCAGGAGTTGAAAAGAGCTTTGGAATCTGATGTAGCAAGTTTAGTTACCTTAGCCAATAGCAAGGCTAAAGAGGCTGAAGTTAAAAGAGACTTCTCTTTTATCTGTACATCAAATGCATTGCGGGAAAAGGCTTCAGAGAAGGAGAAGGAAGCCCTAAAACTTCAAAAACTTATTACCGAAAAAGAAGAAGACCTTCAGTAAAAAAAAAAAAGTGAAATATTTTAACTATATATATGATTTGTGTAAATATTAATTGGTCTGTTTGCAACACATTTTTTTAAAATTGCGTGATACAACTGGACAGTCACGACATATAAAATATTCTGTCTAGAACATTGGCTCATTGGTCTGTGGCTGATAGTTTTAACAATTGTTTCAAATAAAAATTACATGTGAACTCTGAGCTGATTCGAGTGTGTGTTTACATACATTTGTGCTATATTTGCTAAAACCAAAGGACATCCCTACATGGATAAGCTGATTATGATGTGTATAGTGTATATACTTATGCGTTATGAAGAATTTTTTAAACTACGCTATCTTTAAGTGAGTTTTTGTGTTCTTTTCTCTTTAGTATTTGATGAAAAATAGGTCTTTGAATTTTTACAAAAAGGTCTTCGAAGGTTTGGGAAAAGTTTGTGAATTCTGGACCTTGAACTCTATATGAACCCTGTTTAAATGATTTAAAAACATGAAAATGTCATTTATTTAAATGATTTAAAAACATGAAAATGTCATTATTGTTAAAATAAATAAATTTTCTTCTTTTAATAATTATTAATATGTATCTTAATTATCAAAACAAAGTAACTGCTCAGTCCCAGTTATGAATTTAATAATCACTTCAGCACAATGATTACTTATAACAGAATAAATTAGCATCCTGATAAAGCATACCAACCTCAGAATGGTGTAGATAGTATTTAAAAAAAACAATGGAGGCAATATTTTCCAATGACCACAATCTCCTGATGCTATCTAAACCAAAGGGTTCTATCACCCATGCTTAAGAATCCCTGGTTTCAGAAAGAGTTTTTTAAGACTGTTTATACATTTTAAGCAACATCAGTAAATAACATTATTTCCCCCCCTCAAGTAAAATGTGGTTGTCAACCTATCTGACATACACTTTCAACCTATCTGACATACACTTTCAACCTATCTGACATACACTTTCAACCTATCTGACATACACTTTCAACCTATCTGACATACACTTTCAACCTATCTGACATACACTTTCAACCTATCTGACATACACTTTCAACCTATCTGACATACACTTTCAACCTATCTGACATACACTTTCAACTTATCTGACAACTTATACTAAGTTTCTTTACCAGATTATGTCATTTTATGAAGCAATACGCTATGACTAAATCAAGTAAAAAATTTTTATGATCATACCTCAAACTATACCTGTTTCAGTTGGAATCTACAAGAGGGTTCAGATTTTGATTGGTGATGTATGGGGGTGCTGTGAAGGTGAAGGCCTTGGGAAGTTTGATGACATTGACACAATAACCATGTTTGCTGATTACAGGTGAGTGCTGTTCATGTGTGCTGATTACAGGTGAGTGCTGTTCATGTTTGCTGATTACAGGTGCATCAGTTCTAAAATGGTGTATTGGAAGTTCTATTAAATTATAAAGGATGCCTTGAGAACTCTTGGGTAAGGTTATTCATGCCACTAGTTTACTCTGTATTACACAACAGTAGATTCCTACTGGGATTGTTGTTAACAATAAACAATTTTTGTCTGCAGAATTCCCCAAGCTCTTGTCTATTTTGGAGCTATGAAATACTCTGAGGATTTAATGGACAAGTTAAAGCAAGGTTAGTATTTCACCATTTTAACAACTTTGTATCTGAACATTTAATGAAAGGAGAGTAAATGTCAACATATTAATAATAATCTCCAAGTAAATTACAACTACAAACAGATGGCCATACAGTTGACCAGATGGCCGAACAGATGACTGAACAGAAGACCAGATGGCCAAACAGATGACCAGGTAGCCAAACAGATGGCGACAGATGACCAGATGGCCAAACAGATGGCGAGAGATGACCAGATGGCGACAGATGACCAGTTGGCCAAACAGATGACCAGGTAGCCAAACAGATGACCAGGTAGCCAAATAGATGGTGACAGATGACCAGATGGCGACAGATGACCAGATGGCGACAGCTTCAAATAGATGGTGACAGATGACCAGATGGCGACAGATGACCAGATGGCGACAGCTGATCAGATGGCAACAGATGGCCAAACAGATGGCAACAGATGACCAGTTGGCCAAACAGATGACCAGGTAGCCAAACAGATGGCGACAGATGACCAGATGGCGACAGATGACCAGATGGCCAAACAGATGACCAGGTGGACAAACAGATGACCAGATGGCCAAACAGATGACCAGATGGCCAAACAGATGGCGACAGATGACAAGATGGCCAAACAGATGACCAGGTGGCCAAACAGATGACCAGATGGCCAAACAGATGACCAGATGGCCAAACAGATGGCGACAGATGACCAGATGGCCAAACAGATGACCAGGTAGACAAACAGCTTGCGACAGATGACCAGATGGCCAAACAGATGACCAGGTAGCCAAATAGTTGATATATGAAGTGCAATTGAAACTATGAAGCATGTTATGCAGGAAGTCTCCATAGAGAAATGGAGACAATAAAGCAAAGACCTAGCAAATTACTGTGGGAGATTTGACTGAGACAGAATAAAGCAAAGACCTAGCAAATAAGTGTGGAAGATTTGACTGAGACAGAATAAAGCAAAGATCTAGCAAATTACTGGGGAAGATTTGACTGAGACAGAATAAAGCAAAGACCTAGCAAATTACTGTGGAAGATTTGACTGAGACAGAATAAAGCAAAGACCTAGCAAATTACTGTGGAAGATTTGACTGAGACAGAATAAAGCAAAGACCTAGCACATTACTGTGGATTATTTGACTTAGACAGAATAAAGCAAAGACCTAGCAAATAACTATGGAGATTTGCCTGAGACAGGAAATACAAAGAGCCACCTGCTCACTGTGGGAAGCATAAATCAGGCTGTAGTTACTTCATCAGAAAGTTTGGGTGGAAAAGATCAAGCATAATATGAAAGTCTAGACATTGTTTTGAACTATAAATAGAAGTCATTCATAACATTTCTGCTTTGGTCTGTTTGACACCTTGAAGCTGCTGCATCATTTGTTTTGTGTTCTTTGTGACACTGCATTGCAAGAAAGAAATTTAATTAAAGTTTATCCAGAAGTTATTTTGCCCATCCCTGAACTTTGAAATGACTGTAGAACCCGGTTTTGTGTCGGCCTAGGGGTTAGCCAAAAAGCATCGAGATAAAGGAAAACCAATATGGCGGAAATATATTTAAATGTGCTTGAAATTTCTCTATGTACATGATGTGCGTTTATGCACGTTTATAAATGTATGTACTTCAGCATAAAAAAAAATTATAATTTTTAAAATATTCCAGTTATTTTGAGAAAATTGCAAATAAAAAAAATGAAACCAGAATCAAGTTTTTAGCTTTAGTACTTTTTGAGCTATGAATTTTTAACGTGCGAGTTCGTTTGGTGTTTTCTACTATGGACGAAGCCTTCGCATTGTGTGACCTCATTCTGCTGATGGCGTCATGCGCAATGACTAAATAGTTTATATCAAGTATAAGGCAACGCATCCCCTCATTACTAAAATACTATTTAGGGACTACTTATTTTGAAATTTCAACTTTGGCACATGACGACTTAATTAAAGCTTTCCCTGACCAATGGTTTTAATAGTTTTTGCACACTGCAAACTCTTTAGGTATTATGCGAGTGACTGTGAGATGCTGCCCATGACAATGTTTTGTACTCGACAAATTATGATCATTTATAATATGGACTCGACTGGGTTTTTAAATCTCAAATTAAACAATTTTCATTTAAGCTACTTCTAGGCATTCTAAAACACAAGTCCTGTATTTTGAGAAATAAATAATTATTTTAATTATGCAAAACTTATTAATTTGTTTCCTATATCTTCTTGCGGAGTTAAAAAGCGGCGATCGGTCATGTGGATAGAGGTAACCGAGGTTAAGTGGCAAGTTTGGCCGTCTTTTGTGCTCAAGATATCAGGGTTCGACGACATAAAAGAATTGACATAACCAAGGAGAAAATGCTAAGATAAAGATAGAATTTGGCGGTTCCACGTCAAAAACGTCCACTTAACAGGGTTGGAGAGTTAACCGAGGATGACATGACCAGGTTCTACTGTATTTTGTTTACACATTTGACAATATGGAGATATGATGATGAATCAAATGAAGACAAGGGAAATATAGGACAATATGAAGATGTTATGAAGCAATTTAAGACATATGACAATACCGCTATACAATTAACTGATGGTGTTTTGTTTACTAGTGCCTTATATTATTTTATTTTTAAATTACAGTACACCTTTTCAAAAGTGGAGAGCCACTGGAGGTAGAGATCAGAGGAGTCAGCTTATGGGCATGTGAGGTAATATGGTTTTATGTAGAATACTTTTTTTAAATGTCATATTTGCTAAATTCAAGTGGATGAAATAGCCTTACAAATGATGGAGTCCAAAATATTTACGATTTCATATGTGTGCTGGTAGTAAAAAAAAACAACTGGTTTAAATGATTTGCTAGCAGAAGTTGGTGAGAGCCACCACTAGCAGAAGAGCCACCACTAGCAGAAGTTGGTGAGAGCCATCACTAGCAGAAGTTGGTGAGAGCCACCACTAGCAGAAGTTGGTGAGAGCCACCACTAGCACAAGTTGGTGAGAGCCACCACTAGCACAAGTTGGTGAGAGCCATCACTAGCAGAAGTTGGTGAGAGCCACCACTAGCACAAGTTGGTGAGAGCCACCACGAGCAGAAGCTGGTGAGAGCCATCACTAGCAGAAGTTGGTGAGAGCCACCACTAGCACAAGTTAGTGAGAGCCACCACTAGCACAAGGTGGGGAAAGCCACGACGAGCAGAAACTGATGAGAGACACCACAAGCAGAATGAGCCACCACTAGCACAAGATGTAAAGAGCCACAACTAGCAGAAGTTGGTAAGAGCCACCACTAGCACAAGTTGGTGAGAGCCACCACTAGCAGAAGTTGGTGAGAGCCATCACTAGCAGAAGTTGGTGAGAGCCACCACTAGCACAAGTTGGTGAGAGCCACCACTAGCACAAGTTGGTGAGAGCCACCACGAGCAGAAGCTGGTGAGAGCCACCACTAGCAGAAGTTGGTGAGAGCCACCACAAGCAGAAGTTGGTGAGAGCCACCACTAGCAGAAGTTAGTGAGAGTCACCATATAAAATGAGTAGGGTTAAACCTGAAAAAAGGAACGCAACAAAACAACAAACGTGTCGGCAGAAAGCCTTCGTCAGCGAACAAAAAACCCAGAAAAAACGGTATAAAAATAAAAAATAGCACTCAGCTTAGAAGTAGTATCCGTGGGCAGCAAAAGAAATTTGACAGAAAGTAAGTGAGTGAGAGATTAAATAAGGAAGAGCAAACGAAAAGAGGAGAAAAAAGTCTACTGCGATAAGTTAGAACGTGGAGGGGCGGAGCTAGGGTCAAGCTGTGAAAAGAGACATGACATTCATCCCATGTGGAGTCAAAGTGCCATAAGTCAGTATAAGTCTGTTTTCCAAATTCACCCGGCTGGGTGTGTTCGTGCCAGCCACGATCGCACTTATTGAAAAGTCCGTCTTGCCCTGGTGGTCGCTACTATTGAAGTGTTTGGAGACGGGACACGTTTATCTTGTGTAATGTTATGGATGTGTCCTGTACATCTGTCAGAGAGACAGCGTCCAGTCTCCCCTATGTACGTCATCTGACAGTGGGTGCAGACAATGGCGTAGACAACGTTGCGGCTTGTACAATTGAAACCGTCCAAACACTTCAATAGTAGCGACCACCAGGGCAAGACGGACTTTTTTTTGCGTTCCTTTTTTCAGGTTTAACCCTACTTTATTTTATATTGTGCTAACCTGATTGCAGTCTCTCCCCTTATTTCCCTGAGAGCCACCACTAGCAGAATTTAGTGAGAGCCACCACCTTGTTTTTCAGAGTATTTAAATAAAGATTTAATACTAAGGTCCAAACTTGGATTTTAAAATGTTGTGGTTTCCTGGAGCGTGTTAAATAAAAGACCATTGCTAGTCAATAAATTCATGTATCATTTTAATTTATTTCTCAGCTGATTCGAGATGAAATACTCAAACGACTGAAAACCGGCGAGCGCCTAGAATATGAACCAAAATCTCTCACGGTGAATGCAGTTTTGATTGATCATTATTTATGGGATACAAGACGGGAGTTGGCCAGTGAGATGGAGGACATTCCTTTTCATCGATGCAGGGGAATCTATTACTGATCTGATTGTTTATTTTAAAGAATGTTGCTTAGATTCCTTATGTATTAGATCTGATTTTCAAATTGATTATGGACAATCACTGCAATGAAACATTGGTTGATATGACATCACTGCAAAAAACATTGTTGATATGACATCACTGCAATGAAACATTGGTTGATATCTTGATAATAATATTACAAGAGAAATTAAAGATTAATTTCTTCCTGCATTAATTTTTTTTTCCTCTGACTTTTAGTAGTATTAATAGTTTCCAATGATGTATATAAAAATAACTGCAAAAAAATATTTCTGTAAAAAATATATTTTCTGTCAGTTTTTTCTGTTTTGATAAGGCCAGATTTCAAAACATTGTTTGATTATTTTTTGTTTGCAATTGGCTGTGTATGTTCACGGTCAAAAGTTAGTCCCTCGAAGGCAAATTTTGTTCCAGGTGATATTTATGTTGTGTTACAAATCCATGTATTTAGCATGTTCTTGAGAGACAATTCTTGGGTAATTATCTCACAAGAGACCTCCCAGTTTAAAAAAGTCATGTAAAGAAATCCAACCTTCTTACATCAAAACTTCTCCATGTTGCATCCAGTATTTAAAATTTTTTTTAAACATTTACTTAGTACCGGGTAATTAGTATGGTCAAAATTGCAGCTATGCTGGTCTATGCATTTCCATAGTGTCTGTATTCAATCTGGAAGGACCCTTCAGTTCTTACCACAACATTAGTCCTGTAAATAAGAAATTATTGTTTTACTTTATACATCCCGATGATCCCACCAATTTGTTCTGATCTGCTCTAGTCCTAGTTTTACATTTTTAGTTTTGTGAAGCGACAGATGTCCTTTGTTTAAAGAAAGGTATCGCAACCGTTTCCATATTTCTACACTGCTTCCCCCTTATGAAAAATTGTTTGACTAAGTCTCGCATCCCCTAAAAAAAGTAACATTGCATTTTTGTTGAATAACAAAGAGAACTGTAACATTTTAAAAATAAATTTGTAACTTTGTTACATCAAGTGTCCATAAAGTAAAATCTCCATGAAAAAATTTGAATATCATACTTGACAAGTCAATGGCTTCTCTGTACACTTTTCATTGCAATCACTGACATGTCACCTGGCAGCCCAGGTTGAGAACACCTAATCTAAAGTATATTGCCTCACCCCAGGTTGGGAACACCTCTCTCTTCTCCCCCCCCTTTTTTTTTTCCAACCCTAACAAACCCTCCCCCCAGTAAAGTAATTTTACAATAATCACTTTTATTTTATGCTATGTGTTGATTTTTTGACCTAGGAGATTCCGCCAAGAATTCATGTTTTTTTTTTAGGAATTTACTGAAGTAATTTAATTTTATAAAATCATAGTATTAAAAATCTCCCCCCCCTTTTTTTTTTCCAACCCTAACAAACCCTCCCCCCAGTAAAGTAATTTTACAATAATCACTTTTATTTTATGCTATGTGTTGATTTGTTGACCTAGGAGATGCCGCCAAGAATTCATGTTTTTATTTCAGGAATTTACTGAAGTAATTGCATTTTATAAAATCATAGTCTTCAAAAATAATATAGTGTTATAAAAGAATTTTTGCTATAATAACTGTTAGTGACGGAGTGTGGAAAGTTGATTAACTCTTAGCGACAGAATATGGAAAGATGATTAACTGTCAGTGACAGAATATGGAAAAATGATTAACTGTTAGCGACAAAATATGGAAAGGTGATTAGTTTTGGGATAATGTCAGCAAAGCATGAGTTTAAATTTAGGGCAGTCCTTGGTTTCACTGCTGGTGTATTTTTTTTCCTGATTTCTTTTTCCAAAGGAAGTTTAAATGTTACATTTTCGTTAATGCATAAAGGCTCTCAAGTTCTTTCCCATTGGCTAACTGTCTTGGAGTTGACATACATCTACATCTGGTACATGCAATGCAATGTTTCGGCTCAGTTGAAGAGGGGCAAAAAGCAATGTAGGTTATTCCGTAAGTTCCTGGAAGAAAATCTCAGTTCTAAAGATTTCACCCTGAGTGCCTTTGATAGGATTATTTTTCTTCATTTTTTGGAATTATTTAGTTATTTGTAATGACATGAAACCAAAGATTTTTTTGCTACCATGAATTACATTCTTTGACTTTGTCATAACATATTTCTTAAAAATTGTTTTTATACAATTTCAAAGAACTGGCCCTTTTTTATTCAGTGGATATAATAAAATATTAATTGATGTTTTCAGAATCCCAAAAGTTGATTACTGAAGTAAATATATATTCTGTTCTGTCATTTGGAACATTTTTGCTGGATTGCTGTATTTTATATTATTATATACAGTTAATTTATTTGCATATCAGGAAATTTTTGCCTGGAATCAAAAACGTGAACAGAATAATTTCAATAATATTTTAAAAATAATTTACTTGCCAGGATGTGATTAACAGCATTAAACAGATTTGTTTTGTTGAAATTTGATTTTGTGTTATAATAATTTTTAAATATCAACAAATTTTATTTATTTATTTATTTAGGCATTTTTGTATAGCGCTTACCTTACAGCTCTGAACGCTTTACAATTATTAAAAATATGGAAACTGTTTAAACTGCTAAAGTAAAATAAAAATGAAAATCCAGAGACACTAGAATAGTAACTACAATGTGAAAAATGACTATAGAAAGAAATGCAATCAATTTTTTCCTGATTTACTGCAATTTATTTGCCAATTATTGCAGATTGGTTAGTTGACAAGTGGTATTTAATCACATTCATTGATGGCTGGTTTGTTGACAAGTGGTATTTAATCACATTCATTGATGGCTGGTTAGTTGACAAGTGGTATTTAATCACATTCATTGATGGCTGGTTAGTTGACAAGTGGTATTTAATCAGATTCATTGATGGCTGGTTAGTTGACAAGTGGTATTTAATCACATTCATTGACGGCTGGTTAGTTGACAAGTGGTATTTAATCAGTGCCGGTTTCTTTAGCATTATTGTTATATCTACCATCTTAAATACACGGGCCTCTGACCATTACATTACATTTTGTGTGTGTGTGTGCGCTCATTTTTATGTTATAATAATACCAGTAACCATAAAACGACATACTTTTCATCTTTTGTAAGAAAATAAAGTATTTAATGAGCTCAACAATTACGGTTGAACCAGAGGTTCTCCAACATCTTCATAAGTTGCAGCACTTGCACCCACTGTTAAAATATCTACAATGCAGTGGGCATATTTCATAATAGGACTTACCAATCACCTTATTTTCCAAAATTAAATAAATGCAACCAATACAAGGCAGTTCACTATTTATGTGTGAATACAGGGCAGTTCACTATTTATGTGTGAATACAGGGCAGTGCACTGTTTATGTGTGAATACAGGACAGTGCACTATTTATGTGTGACTACAGGGTAGTGCATTGTTTATGTGTGAATACAGGACAGTGCACTGTTAATATGTGAATACAGGGCAGTGCACTGTTAATGTGTGAATACAGGACAGTGCACTGTTAATGTGTGAATACAGGACAGTGCACTGTTTATGTGTGATTACAGGGCAGTGCACTGTTAATGTGTGAATACAGGACAGTGCACTGTTAATGTGTGAATACAGGACAGTGCACTGTTAATGTGTGAATACAGGACAGTGCACTGTTTATGTGTGATTACAGGGCAGTGCACTGTTTATATGCCAGACGCTCTAAATGAGTTCTTGATTACGTTACGAAGATCAGGGCGAGACTTGACCTTTGTACCGATGCTCCCGAATGCTAGCCGTTTAACGGCACTCCAATGAGCGAATTTTTGGTGGTCATAGAATCACATGTGAAGAAAATCCTTGTTGACACCCCGAAAAAGTCATGTTTGCTCGATCCTCTTCCGGCAGAGCTGTTGTAGGAATGTTTGGATGAAATAGTCCCTATCATTACTAGTATCATAAATCAGTCCTTGAAAACTGGTATTGTTCCAGCCTCTTTTAAAGAGGCGGCTGTAACTCCACTGCTAAAGAAAGCATATATCCCCCATGGAAAGTTAATCGATTTTTTTGCCCCCCCCCCCTAGAAAGTTTTCTGCGGGCGCCCATGTATCGACCATATTGTGTTGGAAAAGTATCACAAATCTACCATTTGTATCCAAAGTTTTAGAGAAAGTCGTTCTCCGTCAGCTCTTGAACCACCTCACTCAGTGTGACTTGTTTGAGCTTTTCCAGTCAGCATACAGGGCGCACCACTCTACTGAGACAGCCCTGTTGCGTGTCGTAAATGACCATCTGTTGTCTTGTGATGAGGGCCAGGTATCCCTTTTGTCGTTACTTGATCTATCGGTTGCGTTCGATACGCTTGACCACGGCATTCTCATCCAACGTCTGCAAAAAAAGTTCGGTTTCACCGATACCACCCTGAGATGGTCCCGCTCGTATCTGACAAATCGGGTCCAATCAGTTAACGCAAACGGCTTGACCTCGAAGCAATCTATTATAGAATTCGGAGTACCCCAGGGCTCGGTCCTAGGCCCGGTGCTTTTCACTATGCACGTTCAGCCCCTGGGTGCAGTTTGATATGCTATATCGCATGTTCGCTGATGAAACACAACTTCAGCAGTTCGTAATCCTGTCTCAGTTCCCTCAACTTCTTAGTACGACACTGACGACAGTGGAGTCAGTTAAGCACTGGATAACTCTAAACAAGCTCAAATTGAACGATGAAAAGACCGAGCTCATCCCCATTGCTACCGCTCAAAAGCTAAAATCTGTAAATAACACACCAACCCTTACTCTCTCAGGTATAGAGATTGAGTTTGCTCAAACAGTGCGAAACTGAGTGTCTACTTAGAACAGTAACTATGGAAAATCACATTAACATGTTTTGCAAAGCGATTTTTCCAGAGCTGCGCAGCATTAATCATGCCAGACCTTTCTTAACGTTTGATGCAACAAAGAGGCTGATGTCTGCATTTGTGCATGTACTACTGCAATGCTCTTATGATGGGTCTCCCAGCGACGCTCCTGGATAAAATAAAAAAAGCATGGAATAATGCGGCTTGCATTGTTCTTCGCAAACGCAAATTTGACCATGCTAAAACACTTCTGAGAGAGTTGCATTGGCTGCCGGTCCACGCTCGCATAGAGTACAAAATTGCAACTCTGTGCTACAGTTGCTTGCATGACCTGGCGCCGTCCTATCTCAAAGCGCTCATGACGCCTTGTGTACCCACTAGACAACACCGCTCATCCGATAGTGGCAAACTCTCGATACCATGTGTTGGCCTGGAGACTTACGAGGAGCGCACGTTCGCATTTGCTGGAACACCCTTCCTGTCGCTCTCAGAAACAGCCAGACAGTGGAGTCTTTCAAAACCGATTTGAAAACACATCTATTTCGCAAACACCTGTTGGGGTGGTGTTGTCTACCATCTTTTCCAGCTAGCTATTATCTACTAGATGTATATTGGCCTGTGTTGTTTATGGTTGCAAGGAATGAAAGACTTAGAATTGGTATTCTCGTATGTAGGTTTTGGTAATGAAACGTTTTGTATTTCAATATGGTATATTATAGATTTTTTCATCTCTCTTTTAATGTGGTTGATTATGTACCGCGCTTCGAGCCTTTGGGGATGAAGCGTGATTTTCAAATAAACTTGTTTATTATTATTATGTGTGAATACAGGGCAGTGCATTGTTTATGTAGGGATATTAAGACACAAGACAGTGCACTGTTTATATATGCATATTATGAGACAGTGCACAACACTTCTGCAGAAATAGCTTTTTAACAATTATTGGTAGGATTTTGATATACAAAGTTGATTGTCGTGGCTACATTATGTTATTCCAGGTGAGATTGCACATGTTGTGGCTACATTATGTTTATTTCAGGTGAGATTGCACATGTTGTGGCTACATTATGTTATTCCAGGTGAGATTGATGTGGCTACATTGTGTTATTCCAGGTAAGATGGCACATGTTGTGGCTACATTGTGTAATTCCAGGTGAGATTGCACATGTGGCTACATTATGTTATTCCAGGTGATTGCACATGTTGTGGCTACATTATGTTTATTTCAGGTGAGATTGCACATGTTGTGGCTATATTATGTTATTCCAGGTGAGATTGATGTGGCTACATTGTGTTATTCCAGGTAAGATGGCACATGTTGTGGCTACATTGTGTAATTCCAGGTGAGATTGCACATGTGGCTACATTATGTTATTCCAGGTGATTGCACATGTTGTGGCTACATTATGTTTTTTCCAGGTGAGATTGCACATGTTGTGGCTATATTATGTTATTCCATGTGATATTGATGTGGCTACATTGTGTTATTCCAGGTGAGATGGCACATGTTGTGGCTACATTGTGTAATTCCAGGTGAGATTTCACATGTGGCTACATTGTGTAATTCCAGGTCAGATTGCACATGTATGTCATAAATACTTTTTAACCAAAAAAATTAATAAGATAAATTAATACTAAAATCAGAAGGGCATGTGAAGGAATATAACATATAATGTGTAGTAATAAGTAGTAATATACTAATATAAAACTTTTCAAAATCACTGTCTGTAGCAATTGACTTTATTGATCATCATTTCTTAAGTGTCTTACTGTAAAAATGTCCGATACAGTTTAATGATGCAGAGAAAACACAGTTTTAAAAATGTGTCGTCATTAATTAATTTTGAATTTTTTAAATTCATGGCAGTTGGCTATGATACAAACCATGAAAATGATACAAATCATGACTATCATTATCATAAAAACCAGTGTTATACTATAGGTTTGTCAAGTAGAGACCGACCAAAAGAGATTTTTTGATTTCGGCCGAAGCCGAAAATAGACCGAAAGTTTAAAGGGATATTCGGCCGAAACCGAAAATATGCCGAAAGTTTTAAAATGACTTTCGGCCGAAACCGAAATATTTAGATATTTTGAAATTCGTTCCCGCATACATTCTGCATACATCGAAAATGATATGGGAAAGTATAAATATTGACATTCTTTTTATAAAAATGAGATAATCGTGAATATTAATAAATAAACATCTAATTTAGGGGTCTCAAACGGGCGGCCCACGAGCCATTTGTGACCCGCAAGACGATATTTTGCGACCCGCTACATGACAGAAAAGTTTAGTGTAAATGCGCCGGCCCGTTTCCCCCATTCTCATATTTATAACGTGACTCTCCGCGACGGTTTCAGTCGAATCTCATCGACTAGTATAATTCTGATTTTTTAAAATGTTTCTATATATTTTTGTATGATGATTATAAAGGTAAGAACCGTTTTAAAATCGAAATAAGAGTTTTTTTTTATTTTATAGCTTTTTACGAGACAAACATGGCAAAGAGAGCGGCTTTGAGAAAAGTTTTTAAAAGTAAGTTGGCGGGTAATGCACAACCATAATTGTGTAAATCGTAGCAATCTGAAACATTATCAAAGGATCCATATTAAAATTGCTGC